TTTTTTTTTTTTTTTTTTTTTTTTTTTTAATATTCCTAATTATTAACCTTCTATTTAATAATTTATGTTACATATATTAGATGTTTTATTTTAAAATTTGGTAAAAATATAATTGTTTTTATTATATATAATATTAATGAAAATATTATTTTTAATTAAAATAAAATATACAAGATAATAAGAGATTAAAAAATATAGATATTAGTATTCTATTTATTAGATTTGTTCTGTTTCAATTTAAGAGTTACATAATTATTTTCCAATAATCCATACTATTTTTTTAATAATATCAAACTATAACAAATTATAGAATTAAATATTATTTATTACATTAATTACATAAATAATATTAAATTTTATTATATATATTATACATTTGTTATTCTTTTAAGTTAAATCTTTAAATTGTTAAAATCTTTGTATTTATCATTTATCGAAGTAGTATTAAATATGTAGGATAATTTTTTTCAGTATAGCAAATTATATAATATTAAAGATCTAACATATTTACAAATAATATTAGTAGTCATGTGTTTTATAAAAAAAAAAATTTCTGCACACAATATTTTTTGCTAATATATTTTATGTATGGAGGAGAGATGCATAAAGCTACATTAATAAAATTTTTTCATTCTTAAAATATACTTTTGTTGTGTACAAAATTTTTTTAAATAGAATAAACAGAATTAAATTCTTTAATTTTAAAAGGAAAAAACAAAAAAAAAAATTTTTTTTGAAATTCGTAAATTTTTTTTTTGTATTATTTTTTAGTAATAAGAGTATTTACTTATTTATAATTACTTTTATATCTAATAACATAAAGTTCTTAATGATACTAGAAAAAATAAACAAATAATAAATATATTTTTTTTTTGATAATATTAATAAAATTTTTTATTAGAAAGGAATTATCTTATTTTAAAACATAAAAATATTCAAAGAACAAGAAAAAAAAAAAAAAAAAAAAAAAAAAAAAACATTAAAAATTATACGAAATATATGTGTAAAAATTTATTAAATAAAAAAAAAAAAAAAAAGTAAAGAATACTTTATATATGATTACTTCTGGTTATTTATAAGATACTTTTGCATTAGTGTATAAAGTATTTACTTTTTTTTTTTTTTTTTTTTTTTTTGAAAATCATTGAATTTCTGTCAAAGTATAAATATGTGTATATGTATTTTTTTTTTTATATTTTATGTTTTTGTAATTTAATTATTTTTTATTAACAAAATTATCAAAGTAAAATAATTGGAAGAGTTAATATGACAAATTAAAAAAATTTAGAAAACAAATGAATATTACTGAAAAATAAAAATATATGTTAAAGTAAAATCATTACTTTAATGTTATAAATTTTTTTCTTTATAACTAAAATAATAATTATGGGAATATTTTATTTTAAGAAAAATTTAAATAAATTTAGATAAATTTTCTATAGATATATAAAGAGATTTTTAGAATATTTATTTTAATTGATAATATTCCTTTAAAGTTTAATTTTTTTTTATACCTTATAATACTAAAAAAAAATTATAAATATAAAATAATATTCCCATAAATTTTGCGACATTTGAATTTAAAATAAAATGCAATATTCTAATATGTTGTCTTTCTTTTATATAATTCATTTACATTTTTGTACACATTATCACTTTTTATTTCATTTTTTCTCATGTATTTTTTTTTTAAATCAATTTTCTCCCCGTTAATCATATATCTTTTAATTTGTTTCTTTTCAATACTCTTAATGATATTTTTATTTGATTTAATTTAATTTTTTTAATCTGTTATAAAGTTTTGTTATATTTTATTTTTTTTTTTTAATTTATGTGATCATCTGTTATTTCACAACACCATTTGGTAAAATTTTCAAAAAAATGAAAACCGTTATTTTTCCTTCTTATTCTTGTGGATTTTGTTCTATTTGGTAAAGTTGACTTTTCTGTTAATATATCATTTTTTACATCATAATATGATGACGTAATAAAAAAATTCATAATTAAAAATCCTTTTGAGTTACCATCATCTCCTATTATTGGTATTCTTAAAGGATATTCTTGTGATAATGATTTGACTTTTAATTGCAATCTTCCGGTAATTTCTGTTTTATAAACAGATGTTTCAATAACTTTTAAATAAATAAATTCTTCATTATTAAATGGCAGACTAATTATTTCATTTTGCAAATCACAATCAGCATAAGTATACGACTCATTTAATTTGCAATTATAAAATTTAGATTGATATTTATTAATAATATCATCATAAGAATTAAAGTAAACACTAACTGAGTATTTTATTTCATTTATATTTAAAAATGGAGCTGGAATTTCTTCTAATTTTTGTAAACATACAATTGCCTGTAATTGGTCTAAAGTATTTGTAATATTTTTGCTCAAGTTAATATTTTTAAGTTTTGAAAAATTCATTTCATTTTCATTAAATTCCTGTGTATTCTTACTAAAAAGCATAGGTGAATTATCCATATTTAATAAATTATAATTTTCATTATTAAAATTATTATTATGTATTGAGTTAAAAGGTATATTTTTTATATTATTACTTAAAACAGAATTATAATTCTCCACTATATAATTAGAATTCATATTATTCATATTATAATTTAAATAATCAAATGAATTATTTATATGATTTGGTTCTCTGTAATTATTAATCTCATTATGGATAATTTCCTCATTTACATAATTGCCATTATTTAAATTTGCATATGAGTTATTTAGTTTGTCACTTAAATTGTGAATTAACTGGGTTCTATTTATTTCATTATTCATTTCATATTTTACACCATCAGTTGGTATTATATTATTATTTACTTCATAATGATTGTAATAATTTTCTTCATTCAGATTTATTGGAGGATTTACATATTCATAATATTCTATGTCTTTTGATGATATTGGAACAACATTTAAAAAATTATTTGATTCTCTCATTAACTCATTATTTGTATTAATGTGAGAACTTCTACTCTTTAAATTTATAGAAGGAACATTTATTTCTCTTTGTTTATAATAAGAAGAATTTAATGGGTTATTAAATTTATTATTTTGATCTAACATATCAAAATTTTTTGGGTAATCATAAAAATTGTAATCAGCATATTCCCTTTGTTCTTGCAAGTTCCTAATATCATATTGATGGTTTATGTTTACATTCATCTAAATAACAAAAAAAAAAAAAAAAAAAAAAAAAAA